GCTGCCCTGTGCATTACAGGCCATTTAGCAGAATGCCCTACTTCTCCCCACTAGATGCCAGTAGCACACCCTCAATTGTAGCAACCAAAAATGTTCCAGACATTATCAAATGTCCTTTGAAGGGGCAAAGGTGCCCCATTGAGAACCAGTGTCCCAGGGTGTAGCCCTACAGGATCCCAACCAAAAGTTCCCAATCCCTGAGACTGTCAAAGCTGCACTCACTTCTCAGCCTCTTTGTTGCCACTCTGGAATGAGGGAAAAAGTTGCTCCCAATAGAGAGCTCACTTCCCTTGATTGCCTCCTCCCAGAGGCCTTAAACTTACAGATTTTCCCTGCCTTGTTAACCTGGCCAGCACCTTTACACAGGGGTTTGTGTGTGTTCATGTGTGTGTGTATGTGCGCACAAGTGCATGCATGCATGCTTGTGTGTGTGTGTGCATGCGTGTGTTTGCTTGTCTAGTTCTCAACAGAAACATTGATCTGAAATGACCTGGTTCATCATCTGAAATGACTAGCTCATCACTGCAGAACTCAAGAGTGACAGTCACTTGGAAGCAAAATCTTAATTTCTTTTGAATATAGATACAGAGGACTGAATGTTCTCTGCAAAGTTCCTGGGTGCAGGGTACAAAGAGAGAACACGTTACAACTAATAATAGAACAGTTATGAGAGGAGTTTTAGACTGAGTTATTCTTTGTTGTGGGACACAGCCCTGTGCATTATAGGAAGCTTAGCAGCATCCCTGGCCTCTGCTACAAACAATAAAAATACCATCCTTAGAGGAATTTACACTCTCTTTAGTGTAAGAGTATATGCACGTTTTAAAAGCCAAAATAAAAAGACTTCAGTTGAGCTACAAAGTATATACACATCTCAAAAAAAAAAAAAAAAAAAAAAAAAAAAAAGGCATACAGTAGAAAACTATAGAAGGAGATGTTTATTACAAGCTAAATTCAATCCCCTACTTTTTACAAGCTGTGTGACCTTGGCCAAGTCGAGGCTCACAGTCTTCCACAAAATAAGACTGTGGGATGAGATGATCCAACACCACCATCGCTTCCAGACCTGACAGATGAGAAGTCTATCAGAAAATAGGTTTGTCATCATTTAGAACACCAAATCCAGCCAAAGAAAAGCCACATGTTTATGAAAAATCAGTCATATCTGATTGACCTATTCCCATTTTGACTGATGTTTCTAATTGAGAAAGTAAAGAAAACTCATCAGACATGGGATAACTGGTTTCCGGACACATCTGACAAGATGCATCAAATTGTTCTGAGGAAATGGAGAAGTATGGGCTGGGGAAACAGACAGCATGGATGGTTTGTAACTAGTTGTTTCCAGAAAGCAAAGAATTCTGATTGGCAGGTAGATATGGACAGATAAAGGCCATCTCTGATGTTATGGTCCCATAAAACAGCAGCCTCTTCAAGCCTATTGCTCTGGATCAGTGATTTGGATCCCAACCAAGAAAGCATTTCATCAAATGCATGGGTGTTTTCAAAGGTGAGATAAAATAAAGGGAACTCTAGACCAGGCGCAGTGGCTCACACCTGTAATCCCAGCACTTTGGGAGACCAAGGCAGGTGGATCACTTCAGGTCAGAAGTTCAAGATCAGCCTGGCCAACATGGTGAAACCCCATCTCTACTAAAATTACCAAAAAAAAAAAAAAAAAAAAAGGCCAGGTGTGGTGGAAGTGCCTGTAATCCCAGCTACTCAGGAGGCTGAGGCAGAAGAATTGCTTGAACCTGGAAAGTGGAGGTTGTGGTGAGCTGAGATCACACCATTGCACTCCAGCCTGGGCAACAAGAGCAAAACTCCATCTGAAAAAAAAACAAAAAAGATAAAGGGGACTCTAAATCATGTTCCTGTCCACTGTCCTTCAAGCACCACCTCTTTCTGGTGCAGGAAGTACTACACAGGCTTTCTTCGTTCATGTCCGCCTAAGTCAGTACACCCTAATCCCTGCTTCATCACTGCTGCGAGTGGACCCTCTGGCTCCTGAGGCTGGTGCCCTCTCCTTCCTGGTCACTTCCCCATGCACAACACCCCTCTGCATTTATTCCCCAGAGTACCACCAACATATGACAATCGTTTGCTGCAGATTTCTACTAAAGTTTTGCAGACAGCAGAAGGTATTTAGAGCATAAAGCAGAAAACAGCTTCAAACTGAAAATCAGACATCAAATCCCTAGAAATATATTCTCCACTCCCTGCCACAGAGAGTGCCTGATTGGCTTTGTCATTTCTCCTCTTGTCCAAGCAGCATGCAAAGTTCCTCGTGGTCTTCCATCTCTTCCTACCCTCGACTCCTGGGTTCTGACAAGATTTTGTCTTGCCTGCCATAGACATTCAAACTTTGACCTTATTTTGCTGTCCCAGTACATTCCGGACCCTTATTGACCTCATCTTTGCCATCCAATATACACCCAGGGTGGAGCAAGGAAGGGTAAGAGAGGGCTTGTCTTCTTCACCTAAAAGACCTACCAAGGAATGTTCCTATAAATTCATCCACCCAAGAGAAAAATATTGCCTTTTACATGCAGGGGAATTTGAAGGTTCTTCTCTAAGCTGAGATTCTATGATTTTGTGGTTTTACTTTTTGTCTTTAAATGGCTAAGTGCTTAAGAAACCATGAGCCCGCCCTCCCCGCCCACCATGGTCAAGGATGGGAGGATTAAGGCTCACAAGTTTTGAGGATCAAAGATTCCTAGAATACGGCAAGGATTGCCATGCATTTACAAAGCCCCTTTTTCCTTTGTGCATTCGAACAAACCTGAAAATACTGTCATCCCCATTCAATAAACAGAAGCTTAAAATTCAGTAGAAGCAGGAAGTAGTGACAGAAGATGAAAGAGAGTAAAAATGATCTGGAGGAGAAAAAAAAAATACAAGGGAATGAAATGTCCACACCCCAAAAAAGGGGTGGACTAAATGAGATGAAAGATTTGGGTCCCCGAAATACCACCCTCTCCTTTAGCCTCTCGGTTTGATGCCGGTGGGGAGCTGCAAGCACTTGGGCAGATATTTGCATGCTCTACGTGTTCCGCTGGGAAAGTGGCAGATATCGAGACAGATGGCTCTAGGAAGTGTGGGTGAGCCTGACGTCAAGTTTATGAGCCAAATGGTGTTTTCTGAGTTCTACCTCTTCAGATCCCATCCATAACGTACCCACTACCTCAAGCCATGCCCCTCCCGGAAGCCTCTCCTGCCCCCTTGATCATAGCAATCTTTCTTTCCTCTAATAATAATAAATGCTGGTTAAACGTGTGCTGTTCTGTCAAATATTGTCATTTAGGCCTCATCCGTCAAGGACCCCCTTGAAGTCCACGACAGGGTCTTCCCTCTGTACCCCACTGGCCTGGAATTCCTCCATTTACTCAACACATCCTTATCAAATACCTACTACGTGCCAGGCGCTGTGCTTCGCACGAGGGAAATCAACAGGGGACCAATGAGAAGGTCTTTATCTTTATAGGGATTTCATTCCAGAAAAAAAGAAACAATAAATACATAAATAAAAAAGAAGAGTCCAGCTCCTGGTTAAAAAGCCTACATGTGATTTTTCCGGCCAATCATAGGCAAGTACAAAGGCTTTACCTGGCTGGCTCCATGGGCAACATCTGCCCTTCCCACAGCAAACCTGGCTCACAGCCACTGCGTGGCAGGCTCTGAAGGGAACTGGAAAGGACTCAGGCCCCTCTAGCTGGTCCTGCTCTTCACATGTTTGTATTCCTAGCCCCAGAGCCTTCATTCCTGGGTTTCTTTATCTGAGGCCTTGGGCAGAGGTCCTCTTCAGACATCTCTGCCAAGTCCTACTTATGGTGAAAAGAACAGAAACACCCGGAAGACCATTTTTCCCACTCTGACTCAGTACTCAGTACTTTTCCACTCCTGGCTCTCAGCCCTGATCTTCCCCAATCCCAGAGGCCATAAACTGCTCCCTCTACGCCACACCTGCTCTGATCCACCTGACCTCAGCCTGTGCACTGTGCCATGGGCAGCAGGGAAAATCTTACTGCATGGATTTAGCCCCTTTCATGTATCATGGCAGTTAGTGAATAAAGATTGAACTGGTACTTCCATGTCAACCCCCCGATGCTTCATCAGCTACTCCTACACCTGATGGTTCAGCCCTCTCTCCAGCTCAGCTGAGCTCCTGAGAAAAAACAACAAATCGTTACATAGAATAAGATCTCCAACGGAATTTTCGGTGTTGTCTTAGAATTTTGGCTGAAGCCCAAAGCTGAGAACAATAGGTGATAAATAAAATCCTCCCACTCCTCCTCCAGCAAACTGTAACTAAAGATGGAAAGGTGTAGACCACCTATTCAGGAAGTCCTGTGACCCACAGCCCACCTCTGATGCCCCAGCCTGTATGTAGGAAGGAAGCCCAGAGATGGAGGAAGAGAATCTCACGCAAGTGGTGAGGGGCGTTCTGTCCCTGGTGCTACCAAGGGACCAGAACAGAAGGTGACTTCTTGGGGGAGCTTCTCAGTCTCCCAGTGCACAGAGACCAGAGAAAGAGTCCGCATGCCAGAGGCTGGCTGCAGCAGTCAGGGTAGGGAGCCAAGGGACAGGGCTGCCTTGGGAGTGGCCAGTTCCCCAGGAGTACACAGTAAAATACCTAATGTTTCCGGGGGGCAGAGCGGATGCTGTGCAAAGCTGCCCAGCCTGAATCATCTGGAAAGAGTTGCCCAGGGGAGTGAGGTCACCCTCACAGACAGAGAGGTTGTCAGGTACAGTGCCTGAGACGGAACTGCAGGGTCAAGACTCATGGGAGCGAGTCGGAGAGTCCCCCCACTGAGGCTGGGTGGGCAGGATGCAGGCCTTCTGTGAGGGCGTATTCTTCCTGCAGAAGAGCCAGCAATTGTGAATCCACCTTGACAGAGGACATTTGACAGTCAGGAGAGAACTGCAAACAGCACCAGCTACCTGGAAAAGATCTTCTTGCCCATTAACCTCTCATTTCTCCCTCATCCCTCCTCTTTCAGCCTGACTCTGAAAATGCCAGGAGGAGTCCAGTGGGGAAGCAGGAGAGAAAAGAAGCAAAGAAGGTGAAGAAATGGAAGATGGAACCACAATGCACTTGCAACTGTTGTCAATAGGACCTAAGCCCAGCTTGAGTCTACAAGGGCAGGAAAACCAACTGAATGAGGAACTGAAATTATTGGATTAAAACTATTTAATATCTAAAAAACAAGAGGATTTTAATACTCAATAATTATCATAAAAGCCATGGGATTTGCTTACAATATTATTTTTGGCAAATCCTTCCCAAGCAGGTTTGAAGCTGCGGTGGGTGAAAAATAGAGTTATTTTCTTATCTTATCTTACCAAATATAGCTTGTTCAAATGCCAGCCTTAAAGGCAAAAAAGAAGCTGAGAAAGAGACAAGCAGAGATGAAATCTACTTTTGAAACTGCCACCTGGAAGGCTGAGGCGGCAAATAGTAGTGAGAGAGGCGCCATCTCTGTGGAGAGGGGGAAGATTGTTCCAGGCCAAGGGAAGATATGTGCAAAGGCCCTGAGGCAGGAAAGAGAAAGCAGTGAAACTACAAGGTCCAGAGCAGGGCAGAGTGTGAGACATGAGGTCAGAGGCAGATTGCACGAGGCAATGTGGTCACAGTGAAAGGTTTGGATTGATTCTGAGGGCGTTCCAGAGTTTAAGCAGCAAAGTGACATCCAATTTATATGTTTAAGATCACTTGTATTGTTGTTTCAAGAATGGACTGGGAGGAGGAATAAGAGTGGAGGCCCAGTAGAGGCACACAGTGTACTTCTTAGAAATGGTGCAATAAATCCTGAGTGGTTGCCTTTCTCAAATTTACAGACTCCAAAAAACCAGGAAGACAGGTGGCGATGGGTACTTCAGGCTCCCTATGACTAACAGAATCTACTGGAATTTAACAAACAAACAAACAATATAAAAAACAAAACAGAAGAGATGGTCTTGCTTGAAAAACAGGCATTCTTCATGAAAGCTATATAGCATGTTATATACATAGACATATATATATTTCCTCCTTAAGCCACCAAAATGCTCTGAGCTAAATTTTATGTTCTAGTACAGTAATTTTCTCACCTCTTCTTCCTCGCTATAAATATGGTTTCTAATCTCTCCTTTAACAGAATTTCAACATGAAAATGTACTTGTTCGTTGTTCATGAGCCACCGCAAATCCATTTTAAAGACTGTTTTGCACAACCTGCCACAAAGGGAAGAATGAGATTTTTTTAACCCGTTTTGAAGACCAAAAAAAAAAAAAAAAATACTGCCAATCATCAAAAAATGTTTTGATTTTTTTTCTCACCAACAGCTACACTGAGCACTCCCCCTCGGTCCAGACCCTTTGGGACAGTGAACCCCCAGTAAACCTACTGCCAGCCCGACAAGATAAGCTGCAAACACCTCCTAATGTTTGAGACAATTTCTCGGGAAGCCCCACCCCATTCTTATGCATTCCAGCCTTATTTGAATAGCTACTATACACTGAATACTTGTTCTGTGCCAGGCACCATGCTGAGCACTTTACATATATTATAATAATCCAGCATCACAAAAACTCTTCAAGGCAAGAACTGTAGCCACACCAGACCAATCTGCTTCAACTTTTATGTAATAAAGTTGTAAGTTGTTTTTCAGTTGCTATGGACCCTCAGGTCATAGAGCCTGAACGTGCCCAAAGGAACCAAGCATGCAACCACAGAGGAACCTAAATGTTTGGACCAAGAAGGTGGGAACTGAATTAAGAAGTGGACACCACACGGCAGGATCCAAAATCCAGTGAGTCTACGCCCTGGCACTGCCCCACGGCAGAATCCAGTCAGATCATGCCTCCCAACATCACCTTGTCACAAAATCCAATTAGATCATGCCTCATTACCCTATGCTTATAAAACCTGACCCAACCCCCCGAGATAGATTTGAGAATTTCCTCCTGTCTCCTTGCCAGTAGACTTGCAATAAACCTTTCTTGCTGGGGGAAAAAAAAAAAAAAAAACCTGGTCCTTTGGTGTTTGCCTTTCTGATGCACAGGCAAATGGATCCAGTTCAGTTCAATGACAGAACTATCATTATCTATCTCATTGTATAGCAAAAGCAACTGAAGCATGGAGAGTTTCAGTCACATATCCAAGGTCACAGATAGTCAGTGAGACAACTGTTTCTACTATAAATCTATCTGCCTCTGGTGATAAACTTTCATGTTTAAGGTCATCACTTTAATCCCCCTACACCTCCACCTCCAGCCCACTAGATGACGGGATGTTTGTTTATATCCTCTCTAGTTCAGGTGCCTTGTCAGCTTGTCATATGCACTGGCTTGGCCCCTTGCTTCTCACCACCTACCATGGTGTCCCATGAGAAATATCAGGCCTAACTAGGGCCCCAACTCAGCTACGCTATTGCCCTGTAGGAGGTAATGGGATCCAAACAGACAGCAGTGTGCTGGATCTGCTTACACTAATTTATGAGAGTCAGTCATGTGCATTAATTACCTCTCTACAATGTATTCAATGACATCATGTTGCTCACTTGAAATCAGTCATGATGGAAGTACTTACACCACAGAAATTGGCAAACCCTGCCAATCAGGGCTTTTTAGGGGGAAAGCCACATTTACCAGCACACCACTTGGCGCAGACAATAGGATAATAACAAAATCATCTCTAAGTCTTTTCTTTATAGTCCTTGATGAACAAACCATTCTTAAATCTCAGAACTCCACCAAGAGAAATTCAGCTGGAATTGTACATGGAGGGACCCATTCTCCTTACCCAGAGTGCAAATGTCCTTCCTCAACCTGTGCTGTTTTCCTTGATGCTTTACAAGAAACAAGCTGGAAACTTTTTCATGCTTTCCTACATTCTGTTGAGCTTGCAGTCTTGCTGGAGGAGGAAGCCAATCTCAGGTGCTGAACAACAAATTGCTTATTGGAACAGCTGCTGCTTTTGGCTGAGTAAGCAGGACACTCAAGGGTGGCACTTTCTTGCCATGGTGCTGCAGCCAGTTAAAAATTAGTGTTAGGGACAGAAAATAAGAAGCAAAAGGGAAATCATCAGATGATTTGATATGAGCCACAGCCAGAAGCCTCCTTTTAAACACAGGATAGGGTAGAGGAAAGAATGTGAACACAGAAATAAGGCCTGCATCTGAGCCTTTGCTCCACTGCTTGCTACATGTTCTGATGGGACAAAAAGGCAGGAGAAGAGGAGTTGTAATGAAAGGTGTGATGAGGGAGGGACGTCAGGGCTGAAGAAAAGACTTTTCACCACGACAGCAACTCAGTGATGATTTGGCACATTCCTTGTATATTCAGTATTTATTGGTCTCCTACTGTGTGCCATGAGAAATACTAGATATAGCTGTGAACAACAGAGACATACCTCCTGCCCTCATGAAGTTTACAATCTAGTGGAGAATAGAAACATTAAATGTGTAGTACCAATGAACTTTTATTGTTTGTTATGGTAAAGAAAATAAAGGAACCATAGAAACATAACAGGGAGGAGTTGTGCCTGACCTAGTCCGGGGTCCAAAGAGTAAAGTCTCCCCATAAGGCCCTGCTCACAGAGCGAAAGGACAAAGTGGCTAGAGAGTTACAGGGTGACAGCATGACTGGACTTTTCCCTCTTGTAAGAGCACTAGAGTGAGCCAGACACTATAGATTTGGAAGCCGGAGACCTTTGTTCAAATCCTGGCTCTACCACTGAGAAGCTGAGCAAGTTCCCTAACCTGAGTTACCTCAGTACCTTCATCATATACAGGGACAGTAATAATGCTTATCATCTTCCAGTTTTATTCTTTGAATTAAATTAGTGTGGAGAATAGGTCTCAGCACAGCACATGACTTACAGCACATGCTCATTAAGTGATAGCTACGTATAAAGATTAACAAAAATTTTATTTTAAAAATTAAAGATCTCTTAAACTGAACATGCTGACCACTTTACTTACATATCAGCAGAACATTTAATGAGGCTTAGTGGTCCTGTCCTGTAAGACAACTTGAGAGTTTGCACAGCAAGAGGCTCTGAACGTGCTTGCATTAAACACATACGGAATAGTCAGCATTTGTTTCTAGCAGCAGTGAGAACACATACTGTCCCTTCCAACCTGCCTTGTCTTGCTTTACCCAAAGTATGATTCCCACCTGCAGTGATTCTGTCTATTCCCAGATGGTCCAAGGTGAATTCCTATTTTTTTTCCAATAGCAAGAAGATAAATGTGACTTAATTTGTTCACCTTTATAAAATCTTTATTTAAAAAAAAATCATTGTCCAGGACATTTGCCATTTTGACATTAGAAAACATATCATTATAAAGACTTTAACATTCTGAAAGTTTCAGTTGGAATAGATCGATTCAATTGCTACCAATAGCTTCCCTGAAATGAACCACCTTGTTTTCCATCCCTCTAGTGATATATGTAAATTTTAACAATCTGCAATACTTCTTTCTATACACTGCATACACTGCATTTGTAGCAGGGGTGATAGGTTGTGATGCTTGTCTCCTTTGCACTTTTGCTCACCTTTAGCATAAATTATCAAAGAAGGTAGCAAACTGCAAGTTGATCAGTTTCCCTACTTTAATTTAACACGACAGGTCATAATGGCTTTGTTCCTTGGCCATACAGGCCACGGAGCTGCTTTCACATATTAATGTGACATGACTTGGAGAGTCATAATAACTATAACAAGATAAAGGGAATTAGTTAAAACTTAATTAAAATCACATGGATAACAAGTCAAAAACTGTATGTTTAGTATCTTAAAATCTTTGTTCCTGATTTGACAAAAAAAAAAAAAAAAAGAAGATGCTTTGTAGCAAGCACAAGGTCCCCAATTAATCCCTGGTCTAAAACAATCAGATCTAAATCAGAATCAAGAGGAAATGAAATTGGTGATTCTGATACCTGTCAGCACCTGCCCTGTCCCACCCTGGGTCATGGTAAAATGACAAAAGTGGAGTTCTCATCAGCTCAAAGACTGGAGGCATGAAGTCAGTAGTTACTGCATTTTAACATGCTTAAGGATCATCTTGGGACATTTATTAAAAAGCTGATTGTTGGGATCCAATCTCAGACATTCTGATTTGATGAGTCCAGCATGGCAGGCCTGAAATCGTTATTTAGCCAGCATATTTCAGCTTTAAAGTGACTTCTAGTCAAAATATATTTGCTTACTATAGACAATGAGGGAAGATACTTTGAGATTATGTAAATAACTTGCTCTTTATTAAACTTTTAGTCTCTAGGTTTTATTACCCATAGATGAGCCTTACCTGAACCAATTATAACAATCACAGTTGCAAAATGGTGATTTTTCTAACTCCTCCATTTATTAGTTGGCATTTATTATTTTTTTGTTTGTTTGTTTTCTTGAGACAGAGTCTCAGTCACCCAGGCTAGAGTGCAGTGGCGTGATCTTGGCTCACTGCAGCCTCTGCCTCCCGAGTTCAAGCAATTCCCATGCCTCAGCCTCCCAAGTAGCTGGGATTATGGGCATGCACCATGCACTGGTTTCTGGGCTGGGATTACGGGCATGCACCATGCACTAAATTTTCTGATTTCAAAGGGGAATATGACACAGCAAACACGGTGACATGATGAAAGGTGTACAGAATTATTCGTGTTCTTCTTGAAACTTTTCTGTCCTTTTAAATTTATTTCCAAATAAAAAGTTTCAAAAAATTGACAACGTGGCATCAAGGCAAATGGTCACTGTATGGATAAATGGCAATTTACTTAAGCAGGTAAATTTTCAGATAATTATAAAGCTATTTTAATATGTTTCTAAATATATATAATAAGCATATGTAACTCATAATTTCACAGATATTAGTACTTAGTAGAGGTTAATTTAAAGCAATCAATGTAAAGAAAAATATTCAGTAAATAACAGCAGAGGTGTTATGCAGATGCAGGAAAAATTATAAGTATTGAACAACAATGACTGAAGTTTAAGGAACAGGGGTATATTGAAGAAAGCACTTGTATCAGGGGCCCTGAGCTTCTCTAGATATGGCTTCATACTTAATATCTTGAGTAAATCTCCTACTCTTTGTCCATAAAATGGAGATAAGAAGAATATTTCTCCATACCATTTTCTATAAGGATTACCAAAGGTATTACTAGCAAAAGGGTTGTTTTTCTATAAAGAATAACACCAGGCCTGGTGTGGTGGCTTACGCCTGTAATCCCACTCTTTGGGA